CCCCAAAAAAAAAGATGAGACTTGAAGTAACGAGCCCTGAAGTAACAAGACCCACTATGACTGAACCCACTATGTGAACACAGGAACTGGGGACTGCTAAGACTCCAACTGGCACCAACACAGGTCCAGAGAAGGTTGAACCACCCCTCTGGAGAGACATTCCAGCAGAAACAAAGGGTTGTGTGAAGTGGACACCAAAAGGCTTAAGTTCTTCTTCTCCTTGACAAGGCCATAGCAATGGGCTTTTTTAGGGGGGGGGAGGTGGTCATCCAGTGATGCTCAGAGATTACTCCTGGCTCTGCATTCAGGAATTACTCCTCACAGTGCTTGGGGGATCATATGGGATGTTGGGGATTGAACCCAGGTTGGCCGCATGCAGGGCAAACGCCCTACCTGCTGCACTATTGCTCCAGCTCAGTTATGGACTCTTATCTAGATAGAAAGTTTCACAGCTTGGGATAAAATCTATAGAAGCAACTCTATAAGGGACCAGAGTGATAGGACAGTGGGTAGTATGGTTGCCTTGCACATGACTGACCTGGATTCAATGCTTGGCATTTCATAAGGTCCCCCAAACTCCAGCAGGAGTGACCCCTAAGAGCAGAGCCCAGATTAAGAAACACTGAGCAGATACTAAAGAGTTAGTACAATGGGTAAGAGAGTTTGCCTTGAACTCAGCCAACCCAGGTTCAATCCCCAGCACCCCATAGGGTCCCCTGAAGCCTGCCAGGAGTAATTCCTGAATACAAAGTCAGGAGTAACCCCTGACACTGCTGGGTGTGTTCCAAAAACAAAAATAACAACAAAAAAAAAAAGAAGCCCTGTCCAGTTCATGCACAATTCAATCAGCCTAATCAGTGTCTAAATAAATAGCAGTACTCCTACATTAAAAAAAAAAAAAGAAGCCAATCTGTACCTGTGAGGCGAGTGCATCAGCAGCCTGATGGCACCTTCAGACTTCCAGATACCCCAAAATTGCTGCTGTGCCTTTGGCCAGACCCCAAAAACTTGGGGCAAAGTTTACCAAGAAAGTAAACGGCCAAAAGTTAGGTATGTGGGAAACACACCCACAAACCACCTACGGCTCAGCTATATACTTGGAGGCAAGGCCTCTCTGGTTCCTGATTGAACTGCTTAATGGCCATGATCCCAGAGACTCAGAAACGAATCTTGGAAACCAGCGGCTTTAGGTAGAAATGCATCCGGTCCCTGCAGTAGTTACCAGTGCTGGGCCAACCCAGGTGGGAATAGGTTTCGTGCCTTGGCCTGTTCCCCCTGGCGGCCCAGTGGCCACCATCCTTCAGAGGCCACTGGATAGTCAGGTTTGGGCCCCCAGTGACGAAACTTGTTGGGCTTCATGGGATGGGGTGGAGCCGGGCCTGTCCTCCCCACCCCAACGAGACCCCAAGTCATCGCCCATGAATGGCTTCTCTGGCTCCTGATCCAGCTGCTTAACAGCCATGATCCCAAAGACTCAGAAACAAATCTCAAAACCCAGTGGCTTTTGGCAGAAATGCGTCCGGACCCCACAGTAGGTTACTGTCACCGGGCCACCCCAGGGAGGAAAGAGTGTTGTCACTCCACCTGCTCCCTGTTGGCCTCTCGGTGGCCGCCATCCTCCAGAAGCCATTGGACAGTCAGGCCTGGGCCCGCAGTGACAAAACTTGTTGGGCCTCACGGGATGGGGGTGGAGCCAGGCCTGTCTTCCCCTCCCCAAAGAGACCCCAAGTCATCGCCCACGAATGGCCTCTCTGGCTCCTGATCAAGCTGCTTAACGGCCTTGATCCCAGAGACTCTGAAACAAATCTCGAAACCCAGCAGCTTTTGGCAGAAATGTGTCTGGACCCTGCAGTAGGTTACTGTCGCCAGGCCACCCCAGGGGGGAAAGGGTGCTGTCCCCCCCACCTGTTTCCCCCTGGTGGCTCGGTGGCCGCAATCCTCCAGCGGCCATTGGACAGTCAAGCTTGGGCCCGCAGTGACGAAACTTGTTGGGCTTCATGGGATGGGGTGGAGCTGGGCCTGTCCTCCCCACCCCAACGAGACCACAAGTCATCGCCCACGAACAGCCTCTCTGGCTCCTGATCAAGCAGCTCAACAGCCATGATCCCAGAGACCCAGGAGCAAATCTCGAAACCCAGTGACTTTTGGCAGTAATCCCTCCAGATTTAAGTGTTAAAATTTCGGAATTTCAAAATCACATGGCCCTACTGCAGCCACGCGACATCATATGTTATTCATAACCAGAAATAGAACACAAATTGTCTATTGTTGCCTTTTCAGCAGATCTGAGTGTTGGGGTAAAATCTCAAATAATAATGGTGGGTCTGGTGTCAAAATATTGAATGTGATCAAAGTAGAGAGAGAGAATAATGTGGTAATCATCTGCCCCACAGGTGGGGGGAGGGTGTGGGATGGGGGTATACTAGGGTTTTTGGTGGTGGAGAATGGGCACTGGTGAAGGTATGGGTGTTTCATTGTATGACCGAGACTTAGACCCAAAAGCTTTGTAATTGCTCTCACGGTGATTCAATAAATAAAATTATAAAAAAAAAAAAAGTAAGGTGGAGTTCATGCACAATTCAATCAGCTAATCAGTGGCTGAATAAATAGCAGTACTCCTACAAAAAAAAAAAGAAGCCCTTAGAGCCACTGGGTGTGGCCAAAAGGTAAAGGTAAAGGCCCTCCCGTTGATCGTCGATTTGCTCGAGCAGGCCCAGTAACGTCTCCATTGGAGACTTTGTTGTTACTGTGTCTGGCATATCGAATACTCTCGGTAGCTTGCCGGGCTCTCCAAGAGGGGCGGAGGAATCGAACTCGGGTCGGCCATGTTGGCCGCTTGTAGGGCAAACGCCCTACCGCTGTGCTGGTGTGGCCAAAAATCATAAACAAATAAATAAGACCAATTCTGCCAAAACAAATGTGGGCCTCCCAATTTGGGGGCTGTGGCCGCCTTTCCACCTGAGGTGTGAACTCTCAGCTCTCTTCACCTCCTCTTTCCTTCCTCTTAATCTCTGAATAAAATTGTTTTACTTCACTATCTACTGAAATTCTTTTCTGTGAGGGAAAGGTGATGAACCTAGAAAAGCCTGGGTAAGATTTAGGACAGACTTTCCTTTCCTGCAAAGAACAATTCCTCACTCCAGCCTGAGTCCACGGCTCCCCCAGAAATCTGGGTGACAGGGATCATGTTCCACAAAGTGCACAAGAAGTGGACTCAGGCCAGCTTAATGGCTGCCTCGTGGGGCTGGTGAGAAGCGAGGTCTGTACTGGGCAGGGGTTCACTGCAGACTTCCATCAGCCCTAGATTTCCCAGGCACTTCTCTGGGGTGACTGAGGTTGGCAGAGAGTGAAGTAGTAGACTCCCTTCTCGAGGCTGCTGCCTCTCTCCTAACCACTTCACACAAGTTACCTGCAATAATGGGATTAGAGAGATAGTACAAGCACTTAGGCATTTGTCTTGCATGCAGTCTGTAAGCATCTCTAGGGGTGATTCCTAAGCACAGAACCAGGAGTGAGCCCTGAACACTCCTGGGTAGGACCCCAAAACAAACAAAAATTCCTTGGGCAGGGCCAGAGAAACAGTATAGTAGGGAGAAAGCTTACCTTGTACATGACTGAAATGTGTTCAATTCCCAGCACCCCATATGATCCCCTGAGCACGGACAGGAGTGACCCTGAATGCAAAACTCGGAATAAACCCTGAGCACCTCCAAGTGTACCTGTCCCCTCCCAGAAAAATAAAGTCCTTGGAACCGGAGAGATGGTACAGGGGTAAGACAGTTGACTTGATGTGGCCAACCCCAGTTCCATCCCCAGCACTGCATATGGTCCCTCAAGCACTGCCAGAATGACCTGCTGAGTGTGATTGGTTCCCCTAACTGCCGCCTCTCCCCCCGCCAAAAAAAAGCTATAAGGAGTGTGGAATTCCACCAACAAAACCAATATTTTAGTTTTTGGTGGTGCTCAGGGCTTACTCCTGACTCTGAGCTCAGGAAATCACTCCTGGCGGCTCAGGGAACCACATGGAGTGCAGCGGACCGAATCCCAGTACCTCTGTGCAAGCCAATCTCTCCGATCCCTAAGAACAATCAGTTTCAACCTGAGAATAAAACCTGTCCGACTTATCTTGGTTCCACCAAACCAATAAAAAGAGAATGTTTTAAAAAGAAAGAAGTGAAAAAGAACCTGGCCACGGAGATGAGTCGCAGGCGTGAAGAGTGTGCTTTGAATAGGGCAGCCTGGGAAGCTTCCAAACCAAACAACCGAGAAAGAACCAGGCCACATCTTCAGCCATAGATTGATCAATGACAGGCAACGGGGTCAAGAGATCAGCCCAGTTTCGAAGGATCTTCCACGTTCCCAGTGCCCCATAGTAGGAAATGCTTATCTCAGTGCTCACCAACCCCTCCCCCCCAGGTACCGTCCTGGAGGGGCTACTCCCGGAGAGGATTTAGAGCCTTTCCATTACCTTGGGGACCAAGACGCTATCACCCACCTGATAGGGTCGTTGTAAGGATTGAATGACGTCATCGCTATGACAAGTCTACTAAAACGCTTAAAACGTTCTACTAAAACGCTAAAACGCTACTGTAGTTTCGGTTCACTCCCTAGACCAGCTGTATTCTGTAGACATTCCTGCATCCTTAAACCAAATACCCCTTTCTTGCTTACAGCCCCCACTGCAGGGATTCTCCAAAGTGCCTCTACCCTCTAGAGGTCCCTGCGTCACCATTTCGCTCTGGCGCCCTCTGGCGCCCACAAGAGAAGTGACGCGCTTGCGCTCTCCCACCCTTCTGCCCTTTGTCTCTGCCCGGGTTGTATTTGGCTCCTATATCTTTAAGAATCTAAGAATTAGAGGGCCTAGGCCGAGGAGCGAACGCTAGAAGTCTTGATTGGTCCAATCCGGTGAGAGGCGGGCTCTAGTGAACTCCGCCTAAGTCATTGGTTTTCCCTGCGACTCCGCCCCGTGAAGCCACCGTGAGCTCCTGGGATTGGTGGTCGCGGCGGAGGCGGGCTCCGAGCTTGGCGCCGCGTCCTCTGCGGTCCCTGCTGCGGCGTGGTGGGCGGCATGTCTGCGCCGGGAGGGAAGGCGTGTGGGGACACGGGGCAAGAGGCCGGCACTGCTGCGGCCGGTTCTTTCAGCTTCAGCCCGGAGCCCACGCTCGAGGACATGTAAGCCGTCCTCGCCCCCTCTGGGCTGGAGAGATCGCCCCTTTCTCCATAGTAGGGAGGGTCCCTCCACGTGGGCTGGAAAACTTCAGTTACGCGCTTGGGTCCCAGCTCAGCCGGCTCCCCGGGGCGAACCTTCAAACCTGTCTGCAAAAAGTTTAGCAATGCATACCTGAGGGCCAGGGAAATCGTGGCTCCTGGTGAGCAAGATTAGAACCAACCCACCGCCCAAACCTGGGGAAATAGGAAATAGGTCCTTAGGCTCCTCTCCTTTGCCATATGCAAAGCCCGAGAGGCGGGAGAGATTTCTTGCTGGAGGAAATGTAGGAAGGCGTCTTCTGGCAAAGGCCTGTGGAACTGCACTCTGTAAGCCCGGCAGGATGCAGAGTTAGGGACGTTGCGCGAGCATGAAATTGCAGCCGCAGGAGATGGACTAAGACGCACCCATTTTATAGATGAGGAAACCAAGAACCTCATCTTGGAGAAGAAATGGCTTAAGGCCATCCAAAGAAATAGTTGCATCCCTTGGTCACATGTTCCCGTGTACCCCTTACATAACACTGAGGTGGGCCCTCAGTTTCCTTCCCCACCCGCTAACCTTGGGACCTGGGCTTTCTCCTCTTCCAGCCGCCGCCTCCATGCTGAATTTGCTGCGGAACGAGACTGGGAACAGTTCCACCAGCCTCGGAACCTTCTCCTGGCCCTGGTGGGGGAAGTGGGGGAGCTGGCAGAACTTTTGTGAGTAGACGCTAAGCTTTCTGGAAGTGTGTGGAGGGGGTGGAGGGAGAAGTGTCATCGAATTTGATTATCAAATATCCAGGACTTCATTTCCTCTGCTTTAGTGTCAGGCTTAGAGCCAGGATGATACAGAGATGATGCAATTGCTCTGCCCTCTAAGGATAGCCAGTCTGCTAGGAAAGGGAAGAGCTGTGTAAACACCAAGGCAGATCCAGGTGTAGACAGTGTAGACTCCAGTGTAACTGTGTACTCCAGTGTAGATGCTGACACTGGAAGGGGCAGAAGTGAGCCCATTCAGGTCGCTGAGTAGGTTTTTGTTTATTTGCAGTGCTGGGTTGGAACCAGAGCTTCACACATATAAGGCATGTAATGCATTTGCTCTACTATTGAGCCATTTAGTTTGGATTTGGGGGGGTTTGGGTTTTTTTTTTTTTTTTTTTGGTTTGGTTTTTGGACCACACCCAACTCTGGCTCTGTGCTCAGGAATCAGGAATTGCTCTTTTTTTTTTTTTTTGTTCTCTTTTTTTTTGTTGTTGTTCTTTTTGGGTCCTGGAGAGCCTTTCTAGAGACACCTGCATTTCACCTGCCCTTTGCCCCCTCTGCCTTTACAGATGCAACCTTGCCTGTGGAAAGCCACAGCAAGTCTTCTCTAAAATAAAGAGAAGCCTTCCTTTCCACCTCAGAGATAAGGTAAAAGGTGCTACCATCTCTCTTTTTGGCTCTTTGGGTTACCCCTGGTGATGCTCACGGGTTACTCCTGGCTCTGCACTCAGGAATTACTTCTGGCAGTGCTCAAGGGACCATATGGGATGTTGAGAATTGAAACTGGGTTGGCCGCGTGCAAGGCAAAGGCCCTACCCACTGTGCTATCACTCCAGCCCTCAGGAATCGTTCTTGTCAGGGCTTGGAAAACCCTCTGGGGTACCGTGGAACGAAAACAAGTGTCCCACCTTTTCTCCATCCCCCAGAGTTTGGATTTTATTCCAAGCATCACTGGTATGGTAGGAGGGGAGGGATTAAATGTGCATACTAATTTTAAAAGATGGTGGTTGGGGACAGAACTATAGTACAGCAGGTAGGGTGTTTGCTTTACATGTAGCTGACCTGGATTTAATCCCCAGCATCCCATGTGGTTCTCCAAGCACTGCAAGGAGTAATTCCCGGGAGTAGAGCCAGGAGTAACCCGTGAGCATCACCAGGGGTAACCCAAAGAGCCAAAAAGAGAGATGGTAGCACCTTTTACCTTATCTCTGAGGTGGAAAGGAAGGCTTCTCTTTATTTTAGAGAAGACTTGCTGTGGCTTTCCACAGGCAAGGTTGCATCTGTAAAGGCAGAGGGGGCAAAGGGCAGGTGAAATGCAGGTGTCTCTAGAAAGGCTCTCCAGGAGAAAGGATTTGTGGAATCTGTTTCATTCTCTGTGTCCCGTGCCTGGAGCTCAGGAGACAGCTGTAATGAAAGGGCTGTGAGGGAGAAGGGCAGGCTGTGCACCCAGAGAGAGAACCAGGGTTAGGAAATGATGGAGTTTATAACACCTGCCCAGGTCTGGGTGGTGAGGCGATCACTGTTCCTGCAGGGAAACCGGGTCAGTGAGGCTTGAAGCAGCTGGTGAGGCAGCTGCTCTGATCATGCGGGACCAGGGCAGCCGCTGTGGGATGGAGAAACGAGGGCGCCGAGATGTGCAAGCGGGAGAGCTGTTTGTTTGGAACCGGCTTTTGAGCCTCTCTCTGTTAGATTCTCCAGAATCAAGAGAACAAGACATGTGATTTCCACCTTCGTGGTGCAGAGACAAAGCAAACGAGTTAGAAATGAAATGCAGTTGCACAGCTGGGGATGTGGCTCCTTGCTGGTGTACATGTATGAGGTATTAGTTTGATACCTGACATTAAAGGAAAAAAATATTCTGGAAGCCGGAGGAGTAGGGAGCAGAAGGAACATCCAAAGGCAGAGGGGGTGGAGTGATAGTACAGTGGGTAAGGCACTTGTCTTGCACACACATAACCTAGATTTGATCCCCAGAACCCCACATGGTCCCCCAAACCTGCCAGGAATGATCTCTGAGTGCAGAGTCAGGGTAAACCCTGAGAACTGCCAGGTATGGCCCTAAAACAAACACAAAACAAAACCTCAACGCAAAGGGAGCAGTAAGTCAAGGACCGTGTGACAGCCTGCTCCGTTTGTAGGACACTGAAGGCAAAGTGGCTTTAGGAGGGGAGCTGGAGGGAGAGCTTTAGATGGCAACACTTGGAGGGCAGGAGCGAGCTCATCAGGATGCATTGGAGGGGTGGTTGTTTCTTCAGTGTCCGGGCTTCATGCATGTGCTCTGTGGCTATGCCAGTTCCCCAGCCTAGATTTTTTTTCCCTTTCTTTTTGGGTCACACCTGGTGATTCACAGGGATTACTCCTGGCTCCACTCAGGAATCACTCCTGGCGGTGCTCAGGGGACCATATGGGATGCTGGGAATCGAACCCGGGTCGGCCGCATGCAAGGCAAACGCCCTGCCCGCTGTGCTCTCTCTCCAGCCCCAACCCCAGCCTAGATTTTAATCTCAGCACCACTGGGGAATTTTACCAGGAGAGATAAAATATACTTAATGCTTTTCAAAGATGAGCACTGGGCCAGAGACGTGGTTCGGTGGTGAAGCACTTTCCTTGAATGCGTGAGACTTGGGGTCACTGCCGACAGTGACGAGGAGATGGGGACATGGTTCAGAGGGCTAAAACCTTAGCTGTGCTCAATCCCTGGCACTACATGGTCCACAAGTACTGCTAGGCATGGACCCCCGGCCCCCCAAAATGACACTGTTGCGGTAGTAGATAAAATAGCGATCCAGGTCTGAGGCTCATCCAGAATGACTATTCAGTTTATTTTTGGTTTGGTTGGTTTTTTTTTCTTTTCTTTTTTTTTCCCCTTTTTGGGTCACACCCAGCAATATTTAGGGGTTACTCCTGGCTCTGCACTCAGGAATTACTCCTGGTGGTGCTCAGGGGACCACAGGGAATGCCGGGATTTGAACCCAGGTTGGTCTCATGCAAGGCAAAAGCCCTACCTGCTGTACTATCATTCCAGCCCCCTGTTTATCTATTTATTCTTTTTTTTTTTTTTTTTTAGTTTATAGGATTAGTTTATTCTAAAATATGCATCAGGGATGAGAGGAGAATTGGGTCTTGTCAAGTGAAATGTTCTCTTGAGAGACTCCTTGGCTCAGGAAAGAACACAGGTCAATGTGAACATCAGCTGACAGGGGGCCCCAGAGCGATAGTGCAGCAGGGAGGGCATTTGCCTTGCACACTGAAGACCCACGTTCAGTCCCTGGCATCTCATATGGTCACCCGAGCACTGCTAGAAGTAACTCCTGAGTGCAGAGGCAGGCGTTACCCCTGAGCATGGCTGGGTGTAACCCCAAAAAAAAAAGCCCAAAATAGAACATCAGCTGGCATACCAGATCCTCCCCACTCTCTGCTCAGGGCCTGGATGCAGTGAGTTTTCTTGGGAGGAAGTTCACTGCTACAAGGGTTGGGGGCTTCTGAGAAGGTAGAGCCCATTGTCGTAGTCAGCGTTTGTGTGTATATGCAAACCAAACTGTGACGTGTGTGCGTGCACCAACCTGTGTGCATGTGTGTGCGCGCCTGCTGACCTGTATGTTCTGTCCTCAGTCAGTGGAAGCCTGATGAGGAGCCGGGCCCCCAAGCTTGGCCTCCCCGGGATCGGGCAGCCCTTCAAGAGGAACTTAGTGACGTTCTCATTTACCTGGTGGCACTAGCAGCCCGCTGCCGTGTGGATCTGCCCCAGGCAGTGCTCGCCAAGATGGACATCAACCGGCGCCGCTACCCAGCGCATCTGTCCCGAGGCTCCGCCCGCAAGTACACGGACTTGCCCCTTGGGGCCACCTCTGAAGACCAGACCGTGGGGCCTGCACAGCAGGCGTCAACCTAGAAAATGGGCACGGACTCTCTGATTAAACGTGGCACCCAAGGAGCAGAGGGTACCTGGCCATGGAACTTCCTTCTAGTCCTTTCTTAATAGAGTGGGGGGATCCCAACCTTTCTAAGGTCCCAAAACTTTCCAGAAGTCAATAAACCTTTTTCTCGTAGAAGTTGTGGTTAACAACTTCTAGATTCTTCAGAGTTGGGGGTCAGGAGGCAGGGGAGACTCAGAAGTTGATCAAGGTGCCAGTGATGCCTCTTAGCCCCGACTCCTGTGTTCCTGTCGTTAGTACTTCCCTTCTGTAGGACAGAGAGACCCGACTGCTAGCAATTTCTAGCAATTTCCCTCTGAGGTTTCATGCAGTTCCCTCCCCTGTTCTGGGTCTCAAAAGAAGTTCAGAGACTACATGTGATGGTTAAAAACTCAGACTCTGGGATTAGGGCGTGGATTGAAGGGCTAGAGCCCTTGCTTTGCATGTGGGAGCCCCAAGCACCACCAGGTGTACTCCCAACACCCACCCCAAAAATCCAGATCGGGATCCAGGATTATTTAGGAGCATCTTCAAATTACTTCATCTTTGCACCTCAGTTTGCTCATCTTCAAAATGAAATTATACCTACTTGACAGGGTTGTAGGTCTAATATACATCTTAATACAGTGCCTCGCACAGTAGGGGTACTAAATAATTTTGCTGTTTTTCCTCTCTGGGTTTTGGGTTCATTTCCAGTGGTGCTCAGGGGACCATGCCTTGCTGGACTGAGCCAGGAATTAGTATGTAAACCATAGGTTCCAGCCCTTTGAGCTGTCACCCTGGCCCTGCAATCATTACTACCTGTTTGCCTTCTGAACTCAAAATTTTGGGGGATCCAAAGCAGGAAACCAATAGTTAAGGCAGTCTCCAGCCTAGAATCCAGCTGGACCCCATTATAAATTAGGATCAGGGTCTTATGTGGAGAATATGGCGTCCTTTCTTCTTGTGACTTGGGTCCTTTTATCAACACCACCCCAGCCCCCCAAAGGTCCCTGCCCTCCCAATGCCAGTATTGTGTGTGTCCCCTTATCTTCTCTGCATTGCTTCCCTCTCTGAGATCGCTGTGTTGGGCTCCCTCCCCAGGAAGGCTGATGCAGAGAAAAGACCTTTTCACCTGCTTTCACTGTCTCTCCGAGCCTCTTTCCAAATAATTAAGATGAGGATTTCTCCTTTGCCAGGCTCATTCTTATGTATTAATGACCTTGCTCCCTCGAAGTCAAGCAATCCAGATCTGGGCTGGAGTGAGTACCGCACGTAGGGCACTTACCTTGCGTGTGACCAACCCAGGTTCAGTCAGGCACGCCATATGCTTCCCTGAGCTTCACCAAGAGCAACTCCTAAGCGCAGAGCCAGGAATAAATCCTAGTCCTGAGCACCTGAAATACATTTGTCTTCTCTGCAAGGCCAAGATTGAATTCAAGACCTGTCTTCATGCAGGTTTCCCTACCCCACCAGGGTGATGGGGCTTGTGTACATGCTTGCATGGGAGGCCTGGTTAGATCCTGGCATCACATGTTCCCCCTGGGCACTGGCAGAAGTACCTGCCACAGACACAATTGGCTTTTTCATTAAATTTTGAGGATCAAAGTAAGCTAATAACGAAACACTGAAAGCTTTAACACAGTAGGGGCCTGAGAGAGTACAGGGGTTAATGCTCCAATTCAATCCCTGGCATGCTGGGCCCTGAGCAATCCTGGGTGTGACTCCCAAAGCAGGGAAGGGCTGGTGAGATGGCACAGAGCGTTAAGGCACTGGCCTTCTACACAGCTGAAACAGGCTCAATCTCCAGCATCCCATATGGTCCTCTGAGCACCACCAGGAATGATTCTGAGTGCAAAGCCGTGAGTAACTCCTGAACATTGCAAGGTGTGGCCCACAAATCAAAACAGTGCAGGGAAGGTTCACTCACTCTTGCTCTCTTTGCAGATGCAGGAGGCAGCAGTTAGCCAGCCTGCGCTGCGGCTGGACCCGAGTCGCGAGGCTATTTAAGGATCAAGTGTGGGATCATCCCACACACAAGCCTTACGGACTTGGTAGCCCCACTTGTGCTTCCCAAGAACTCAATTCAGAGCCAGAGCCTGGGTCCAGCCCTCTGCCCCCTTCCCCACCCCTCCCCCCCCCCACTTAAGAGGCACGGGCAGGGGCTGGGGAGATAGCACGACGGGTAGGGCGTTTGCCTTGCATGCAGCCGACCGGAGTTCGATTCCCAGCATCCCATATGGTCCCCTGAGCACCGCCAGGAGTAACTCCTGAGTGCAGAGCCAGGAGTAACCCCTGTGCATCGCCAGGTGTGACCCAAAAAGCAAAAAAAAAAAAAAAGAGGCACAGGCAGGTGAGGATATAATACTTTATTCACTAACATGGGCCGAGAGGATGAAGCGAGGGAAGGTGGGCACGGGGTTCCCAGGACCCAAGTAGGGGATTCCTCCCGCCTCCCACATTCAGGGCAGCTGGGCTGGCCATCCCGCCCCCGGGGCGGCCCTCCGCTGCCCCCGCCCCCCATGCGTACGCGCGCGCGGGCGCGCGGACACGATCGACTGCTCAGCTGCCCTCGCAGTCTGGGCAGCGCTCGGTGGCGGTGCCAGCCGCGGCGCCGGGGGGCAGCTTGAAGTCCCGGCCGCAGCCCGCACAGATGAAGAGGCGGCGCCGCATGTGCGCGCGGCGGTGCCGGATGAAGTGCGAGCTGAGGCGGAAGCGCCGGCCGCACTCGGCGCACGGGTAGGGCCGCTCGCCGGTGTGCGTGCGCGCGTGCTCCGCCAGGTTGGAGCGGTGGCCGAAGCGCCGGCCGCACACGGCGCAGCGGTGCGGCTTCTCGCCCGTGTGCACGCGCCGGTGCTTGGCCAGCGCCGAGCTCTGCGCGAAGCGCGTGCCGCAGTCGGCGCAGGCGTACGGCCGCTCGCCCGTGTGCGTGCGCCGGTGGCGCGCCAGGCACGAGCTGCCGCCGAAGGCGCGTCCGCAGTCCGGGCACGCGTACGGCTTCTCGCCCGTGTGCACGCGCAGGTGCTGCGCGTAGTTGGAGCTCTGCGCGAAGCGGCGGCCGCAGTGCGCGCACGCGTACGGCTTCTCGCCCGTGTGGCGCCGCCGGTGCTGCCGCAGGTTCGAGGCGGCCGAGAAGCGCTTGTCGCACTCGGGGCACTCGTAGGGCCGCTCGCCCGTGTGCGTGCGGCCGTGTTTGGTCAGCGCCGACTTCTGCGAGAAGCGCCGGCCGCACTCGGTGCACGCGAAGGGCCGCTCGCCCGTGTGCGTGCGCGCGTGCTTGGCCAGCGTGGAGCGGCGCGCAAAGGCGCGGCCGCAGTCCGGGCACGCGTGCGGGCGCGCCGGGTCGGCAGGCGGCGCTGGCGCCTCGCTCGGGACCTGCGGGGAGAGGGGACAGGTCAGGGACAGGTCCGCTGACCCCTAGGCCCGGGAAGCAGAGACATGGGTCTCCGAGCGCCCCGTTTGCCAGACAGCGCCGGCAGCAGTGACCACCCCCGAGGAAGCTTGTGGACATTCAAGGAGATCCACACGGGGAGGCAGATGTCACTCTATCTGCTGTCTACTCTTTATTCACTCAACAAATACTGAGCAAGACCACGTGGCTGACGCTGCATTTAAAACGCCCAATTCCTGCTTTCAGAAAGGTTAGGATGCGACTGAGTGGTGTTCGAAACAAAGCCAAACGACAGAAAACCTTCCTGGTAAAAGCAAAGAGGTAAAGGAGAAGGGAACGGCCTACAGAGCGGACAGTGAGTTCCTGAGGCAGGAGCTGCCTGCTGAGTTCCAGGAATGGCAAGAAGTGCTTAGTGCAGAATGCACAGGCGCTGCTGTGAGCAAGCCAGGGATCCAGTGGGCAGTTCCACTGTGAGGGCTCCCTTGGGATGCTGGTATGAGGGAGGATCAAGGGCAGAAACAGGAGCCTGGTAAGAGAAGACACTGGCCTGCCAGCCGGGGAGGTGCAAAGTGAAGAGATCTACTTCTGCATATTTGGGGGTTGGAGATTTGATGATAAGATTAGATTCAGTTGATTGGATGGATTTTGATTGGATCTTTAATTCTGACATATCTGGAGCCTAGGAGAGTAGATTGGAGATTTAATTAGGAAATTATCAGCCAGCAGATGGTTTGTATTTATTTTTGCTTTTGGGGGTCACACCCAGTGATGCCTGGGGCTTACTCCTGGCTCTGTGCTCAGAGTTCACTCCTGGGGACCTTATGGAATGCCAGGGATAGAACCTGGGTCAGCCACAGCAAGGCAAGTGCTCGACCTAGTGTACCATTGCTCTGGCCCCTGCAGATGGTTTTTAAAATCTCCAAATAGGAGCAGATCACACAGGGAATGGACAGACAGGGGTCAGCCAGCAAAGGAGGCTGGGGAGCAGCCGAGAGTCAAATAAGGCCAAGGGCCCAGGCTCTTCAGCAAGCTGAAAAGCAAGCACCAGTCAGACTGAAGCTGTGAAGAAAGCAAGGGTAAAACCCACGTACTATAGCACTGAAGCACTGTCCTCCCATTGTTCATCGATTTGCTCGAGCGGGCACCAGTAATGTGTCCATTGTGAGACTTGTTTATTTTTTTTGGCATATCGAATACACCACAGGGAGCTTGCCAGGCTCTGCTGTGTGGGCAGGATACTCCCGGTAGCTCACTGGACTCTCCAAGAGGGACGGACAAATCGAACCCGGGTGAGCCACATGTAAGGCAAACGCCCTACCCGCTGTGCTATTGCTCCAGCCCAACCTAATATACTGAAGTCTAAAATGGAGATATTAGAAAACAGGCCAGTTTTATGAGGCCTGGGCTTCTCAAGATAAAATCAGAAAAAAAACGGGGCTGGAGAGATAGCACAGTGGGTAGGGGGTTTGCCTTGCATGCGGCCAACCTGGGTTCGATTCCCAGCATCCCATATGGTCCCCTGAGCACCGCCAGGAGTAACTCCTGAGTGCAGAGCCAGGAGTAACCCCTGTGCATCGCCAGGTGTGACCCAAAAAGCAAAAATAAAATCAGAAAAAAGGGGGAAGAAATGCTTTTGTAAGAAGCAGGGAAAGGGAAAACATTTTACACTAAAATAAAGGGGACTGCC